TATATGACACATGCACTGGGCAACATGGGGTCTATTGTTTCATTTGTTTAACTCTTCAATTGCTTTTTACCTTGAAAGCAAGTATCACGATGATACGATACAATTCCAAGCGGGACAATCTATTAGACCGTTCCAAGCGTCTACTTGCTCTGATGGTCAAACATTGTTCAACATCAATGTCAACAAGATGCATGCTGAGTGTTTTGATTGCAATAAGGCCTCGAATAATGTTAGAGATTATCTCCGAATATTTGCAAACAAATGGGAAAAGATGACTTCAAACAACAAAGTGCATGCTGTGAGATGACTACATATAAATGATGGTTTAAATGACTCCTTTAATGGACACCTGCGTGCATTATTTTAGAAAAATTGCGATAGTTTAGTAAATGGGGATGATACATTCTAGTTTTCATTTATTGTGAAATTTTATAGACCATACAGAGCTATATCTGATTACTTACTGATTACTTCTCACATTGTCGAAATCTGTATATAGACAATATGAGAAATATAACTAATTGTAAACAGAATAAAGATTGGTTTACTAATTGAAGAGTGTCTGTGTAATGTATTACTAATTGAAGAGTGTCTGTGTAATGTATTACTAATTGAAGAGTGTCTGTGTAATGTATTACTAATTGAAGAGTGTCTGTGTAATGTATTACTAATTGAAGAGTGTCTGTGTAATGTCTGTGTAATGTATTGCTTATTGAAGAGTGTCTGTGTAATGTAATACTAATTGAAGAGTGTCTGTGTAATGTCTGTGTAATGTATTACTAATTGAAGAGTGTCTGTGTAATGTCTGTGTAATGTATTACTAATTGAAGAGTGTCTGTGTAATGTATTGCTAAACAAATTTAATATGAAAAAGGCAAAGCCTCAAAGCGAGCTCGATGTTCTTTTACCGTAAAATAGTTTAAAATAATCGTTCAATTTTATTTTACATTTTCCGTTTTAACCCATTTCTTCATGAGCATTTTGTGAAAAATGGCTGTTTTCATTGAAAAGTCTCCCGTTACAAGTTCAAATTGCTATAATACTATAAAAACTGCTTCAACACTAATCAAACCTGGCACAAATGTTGACTGGACCATTGCCCTTGCAACAACATGCTCAGGCTTAAATTTTCTGTTACCATGGCAACGAGGGGACATCTCAAAATTGCCAAAAATCACTATTTTGCGTTGATTTTTTTCCATCAAAATTGATTTCAAAGTGCTGCAACTTCTCAATGGATTGAAATAGAGTCAAATGCTTTTCAGCGTTGGTTACACGTTACCTTATGATCAATCTGGGGTCATTTACAGCCTCTCACAAGTCCAAAATTTTCTTGGCGATGAGGGGGACTCCGCCCCCCTTCAAACCCCCCCAAACAGAAGGGGGCACATCCCCCTTCTGGCAACCCCCTGATGTATCTTTTGGTTGGGGGCCGCGCCGAAAAAGAGCTCACTTTTTTTTAACAACATTTCTCAAACAAAAACAAGTGTTTGGGGCCTAAATAAGGCATTTTTTCATCATTTGAGACAACAAAAAGGGGGGGTGAAAAAGGCGTTAAAAGGCGTGTATATGAAGTAATGGGTTAAAATTGTCATTCGGTAATTTATACACTGCTTCCGTTTATTCTGGTTCCACCGTTCTATTATGGTTCCTATATAAGTGCGCAGGATACCAGTCTACGCTTCCGTTTTCAATCAGAGTACATCGGCTTTTATCGTTATCTTGTAATTCGAAAAGTTGCGATGCGTCAGTTCGGTACTTCGGACGAAAGTTTTCAAAACCATCACTTAGCAGGTACTAACGTTACCGTAAAGCTCGCTTTGCGAGCAGGCCCTTCGGGCCAGCTCGTCGAGCTTGCTAAAAAGGAAACAATGTTGTTATTATACTATTAGACATAAGTTAGTTAATTAATATTTTTACTTAACCAACATTGTTATGAAGTTTGAAATTAAGGATAAACGAATCGATTAGTTTAAATCTTTTCAATTACTTGATCGCATTTAGTAGGTACATTATTTATAATACTACACACAGTTTTAACGCCGAATTTCATTAGACAAATGTGATATTTATATTATTCTTATACACGACTGCTGCAATTTAACAGTTATTTTCTTTTTTAAAGATTGCACCGTAATGATATATTTTAGGACGATTTTTTGACAGAACATGTGGCCATGTATAAACGGTTATAGTCTAACAGCTGTTGAATCTATTTATCATTGAACGTGTATGTATACTATTTCGAAATTCTTTATTACAAATATTATATATATCAAATATTATATACATAATGAAGGCGACAAAACTATATGTTTTGAAATGAAATGTAGGGTAATTTATCTTTTTATGGTAATTCTTTTTGTGTGTGTAAATACAGTATTAAAAGTAAAAGTAAAATATTGATAAATAATGTACAGTAAGGTCAAGATAAGTAAAATACAGTACAGTAGAATATGATAAGTAAAACATAGAATGGTGGTACATGACAAGTGCCACACAGTACAGTATTACATGATAAGTTAAATATTGTGCGGTGGTTTAAGGAACACCACTGAGGTAAAAAAAGACTGAAAACTTAGAATATTCTTATTAGAAGTTCTTACATAGATCAGCTAGATCACTTAAAACAGAAATATATGCAAACAATGATTAAGTTTACTCAGAAATAACGTTTTTTGTACTATTCTCAGCCCGATTTGACGGGAAATACAATTTTAAGACATGTTTTACGATAAAATAATTATTCCGGAAAAACGTTGGGAGCGGTTGGTCTAAAATTTTGCTAGGCCTAAATCAATTAGAACAATTATTTCGGAAACATATTTCCAGTTCCACCATGTCAAACAAACCACTGTGGATTTCCTTTAACAAAAACTTAATCTGCGTATTCCCCCATTTGGACATAGAAGGGCCGAAAGTACTAGATATGCAATAAAATTACTAGATATGCAATAAAATTACTGTTGAACTAAAACACTAAAATGTGATACGGAAATAAATCAGGCACAATTTAGCTTTTTATCAGGTATGGCAGCATTTATTTGTTGATAATGTATTAAATAAAATAAAACTAACAAACATAAGACCCATATGAAGTTATACGTTAGTTATTTGTTGTAAGATAAAATAAAACAAATTCTATTTAATCTTAATTGTTTAATTACATTCCTTATTTATCAAATGTGTTCATTATCAATATTTTGTAAATATTCTTCTTTTTGGAAAAAAAATATTAGTGTCGTCATGGCAACCTTACTCTGACGTCACAAGAACAAGATGTAAATAACTTATAACTTATTTTATTAGAAACATGAAACTTATGAAAGGAAAGGAAAACAAACAACAACAATACGCGTAATTCTCCTTTACAAACCTTAACTAAAACAAAATAGATTTGCAAACTTTAACGTAAATAAAACACATTTGCATAGATATCACTTTTTTATGAACAACCCTCATAAATATTGATTTAATAGTGGAATTATTCTCGTCATTTGTAGAAGTATTTTAATTATTTATACCAGTTAGCTATTTAAAAGCTGATTTCATTTGGTTTGAGAACAATAAACCCCCGTTGATTAGATACGTGTGTGATTTAAGTGTAATCTAATATATCAAAATGTACGAAAACTGTTTATTAATTATACATTTGTTCAATTTAATATGTTTTTTATTTTGGTGAAACAAAAATATTTATCTGATCTTACTCATGATTGCTGATTAGATTTAGTTCGATATAGAAGTAATGTAATTAACGGTTAAAGTATGGGATATATAGATGTAAAGTAATTAACGGTTTAAGTATGGGAGATATAGATGTAAAGTAATTAACGGTTTAAGTATGGGAGATATAGATGTAAAGTAATTAACGGTTTAAGTATGGGAGATATAGATGTAAAGTAATTAACGGTTTAAGTATGGGATATATAGACATGATACACTAGCACGGTAAATACGTACAAGAAAAAGTTCCCAAGTTACCACCCTATCTCTATATAAAACTCGGGGTATTTTATCACAAAAGTTGTGTGATAAGAGATTTTTTGGTCATTTTTTGTCTCATTTATTTACAAATAAGTAATTTATATACTTGTTCACTTTGTTTCTTTTTTATTGTATTTGTAATTTATAACATTGGTGTGTAAATTAAACTTTTTTTTTTAAATTCGTTTTTATATAAACAACTTGTATTTTCTCTGTCTAATTCTCGCAAAAACTTCCATTGTTAGCATAAAAAATTACATTTCTCGTTGTAACCTAAACAAATGTTCATTTTTGAAGGTAAATATGTTATAACTTAATTAAAACAAACATTTTATAATGGTGTCGCTATAATCTTAAGAAAAGTTTTTGTTAAAATGGTAAATATTTCAATAAATAACATTAACAAACGATAATATTCTAACTGTCAATCTTTTCAAACAATACTCTATAAATTTTCATCTCGTTACTTTATTTACGTTTAATGATTTCAATGTTATTTTATAATATTACAATCATTGCTATTTTAATTATTAAAGTGTAATATATAAGCTGATTCTTAACTGAACAAATTTTGCACTTTAACGTTTCAAATCACATTTTCCAAACCTTTTGCATTTCATTTATTTGATTTATTTTCCAAATTATATCGAAGTGTAAAATGTAGTATTAAGAAAAAAAACCATAAAACAACAAATGTTGAATACAGTGAGTAGATACCATGTTCAATTATTTAAAATGACCGATTTAATTACGTCAAGGTTAACAAGTGTGCCTATGTATATAAGTTGACTTAAAAGATGATACGTTAATACTCGTATAACGTTCGAAATAACCGTGACCGACAGGCACATCTTGTTCTTATAATTATTATTGTGGCAATGTGTATAATTAACATGTTTATCATTTTATTCTTTAACAAACATTTTATTTACAATTAGTATGTGAAATATTACAAATTTAGAAAAAGCATGTTTTATTTATGTAATAAATAGTTTAAATAAATATTTTCTTACCGGTATTGTTCCCCTTGATACAACATCTAAACTTCGTTTTCCTCCAGGTGGACAATTTCTTATAAAACAGCCATTTGTAGTACTTGATAGCATTATAACAAAACTTGTCGCAAATAAAACTGAGTTAAGTGATAGATATTTGTTAGAACCCATATCAGAATGTTCCGTTCCTCCAACACTTTGTTAAAGCGTAAGTCAACTCTACAAATATTTGACAGACAATGACTGTTTTATTGTAGATGCTATTGCTTTATAACGAACTGATTGTACTATAGTTCCTAAATGCCCGAGCTATATATACAGAGTGCCGTTTCTACGAGGACTTTAAGAGCTTTGTTCCGATATAAATATATTATGTTTAATTACTTCTAGTTTATACAAATACTGATGCAATACGTCTTTTAACAACCAATATTCACGATTATAATAAAGCAATGACACGATATGATTGTTTTAAAGTTTAAAAGGTATAAGTGTAAAATACGTCATATGATGTAACGTCAGTCGTGACTATTTATATCTCTAAACACAACTGGTCAAAATCGAATATGAGATAAATGTGAAGTATTCTCCCTAGGAAGTGTTTATATAGCGTGACACAGCATGGCGCAACTTGATGAATAACTGAACAGTTAATACACCAATAAACATTATGTCAGCCTCTTTTTAAGTTTTAAATTTAATCACGAACATTCACATGCGAGTTTTCAAACAATTACTTGTACAATAAGGCTACTATACAACAACTACTTAAATGATTAGCATTAAGCTTTTATAACGTTAATTTTGTAATACTGATCAATAGGGTAGTTTCTGTAATGTCAATTGTGTAATCATGAACAGTATGTCAGCTTTAAAACATTAATTGTTTAATAATAAAGAATGCGTCAGTTTCTATACATTTTTGTGTAATCATGAACAATCCATCAGCTTCTTAAGCGTTATTTGTGTAATCATGAACAACAAAAGAACGTTATTTGTGTAATCACGAACAATGCATCAGTTTCTTAAGCGTTATTTGTGTAATCATGAACAAGACAAGACGGTAGCTTCCATAAAGTTATTTGTGTAATCACGAACAATGCATCAGCTTCTTAAGCGTTATTTGTGTAATCATGAACAAGACAAGACGGTAGCTTCCATAACGTTATTTGTGTAATCACGAACAATGCATCAGCTTCTTAAGCGTTATTTGTGTAATCATGAACAAGACAAGACGGTGGCTTCCATAACGTTATTTGTGTAATCACGAACAATGCATCAGCTTCTTTAGCGTTATTTCTGTAATCATGAACAAGACAAGACGGTAGCTTCCATAACGTTATTTGTGTTATCATGAACAAAGCATCATCTTCTTTAGCGTTATTTGTGTAATCATGAACAAGACAAGACGGTAGCTTCCATAACGTTATTTGTGTAATCATGAACAATGCATCAGCTTCTTTAGCGTTATTTGTGTTATCATGAACAAGACGGTAGCTTCCATAACGTTATTTGTGTAATCATGAACAATGCATCAGCTTCTTTAGCGTTATATGTGTAATTATGAACAAGACGGTAGCTTCCATAAAGTTATTTGTGTTATTATGAACAAGACGGTGGCTTCCATAAAGTTATTTGTGTAATCATGAACAATGCATCAGCTTCTATAGCGTTATTTGTGTAATCATGAACAAGACGGTAGCTTCCATAACGTTATTTGTGTAATCATGAACAATGCATCAGCTTCTTTAGTGTTATTTGTGTAATCATGAACAAGACGGTAGCTTCCATAACGTTATTTGTGTAATCATGAACAATGCATCAGCTTCTTTAGCGTTATTTGTGTTATCATGAACAAGACGGTAGCTTCCATAACGTTATTTGTGTAATCATGAACAATGCATCAGCTTTATAGCGTTACTCGTGTTATCATGAACAAGACGGTAGCTTCCATAACGTTATTTGTGTAATCATGAACAATGCATCAGCTTCTATAGCGTTATTTGTGTAATCATGAACAAGACAAGACGGTAGCCTCCATAACGTTATTTGTGTAATCATGAACAAGCCATCAGCTTCTATAGCGTTATTTGTGTTATCATGAACAATGTATCAGCTTCTTTAGCGTTATTTGTGTAATCATGAACAAGACGGTAGCTTCCATAACGTTATTTGTGTAATCATGAACAATGCATCAGCTTCTATAGCGCTATTTGTGTTATCATGAATAAGACGGTAGCGTCCATAACGTTATTTGTGTAATCATGAACAATGCATCAGTTTCTATAGCGTTATTTGTGTAGTAATGAATAAGACAATACGGTAGCTTCCATAAAGTTATTTGTGTTATCACGAACAATGCACCAGCTTCTTTAGCGTTATTTGTGTAATCATGAACAAGACAAGACGGTAGCTTCCATAACGTTAGTTGTGTAATCATGAACAATGCATCGGCTTCTATAGCATTATTCGTGTTTTCATGAACAAGACGGTAGCTTCCATAAAGTTATTTGTGTTTTCATGAACAATGCATCAGCTTCTTTAGCGTTATTTTTGTAATCATGAGCAAGACAAGACGGTAGCTTCCATAACGTTATTTGTGTAATCACGAACAATGCATCAGCTTTTATAGCGTTATTTGTGTTATCATGAACAAGACGGTAGCGTCCATAACGTTATTTGTGTAATCATGAACAATGCATCAGCTTCTATAGCGTTATTTGTGTAGTAATGAATAAGACAATACGGTAGCTTCCATAAAGTTATTTGTGTTATCACGAACAATGCACCAGCTTCTTTAGCGTTATTTGTGTAATCATGATCAAGACAACACGGTAGCTTCCATAACGTTATTTGTGTAATCATGAACAATGCATCAGCTTCTATAGCGTTATTCGTGTTTTCATGAACAAGACGGTAGCTTCCATAAAGTTATTTGTGTTATCATGAACAATGCATCAGCTTCTTTAGCGTTATTTGTGTAATCATGAACAAGACAAGACGGTAGCTTCCATAAAGTTATTTGTGTTATTATGAACAATGCATCAGCTTCTTTAGCGTTATTTGTGTAATCATGAACAAGACAAGACGGTAGCTTCCGTAACGTTATTTGTGTAATCATGAACAATGCATCGGCTTCTATAGCGTTATTCGTGTTTTCATGAACAAGACGGTAGCTTCCATAAAGTTATTTGTGTTATTATGAACAATGCATCAGCTTCTTTAGCGTTATTTGTGTAATCATGAACAAGACAAGACGGCAGCTTCCATAACGTTATTTGTGTAATCATGAACAATGAATCAGCTTCTATAGCGTTATTCGTGTTTTCGTGAACAAGACGGTAGCTTCCATAAAGTTATTTGTGTTATCATGAACAATGCATCAGCTTCTTTAGCGTTATTTGTGTAATCATGAACAAGACAAGACGGTAGCTTCCATAAAGTTATTTGTGTTATCATGAACAATGCATCAGCTTCTTTAGCGTTATTTGTGTAATCATGAACAAGACAAGACGGTAGCTTCCGTAACGTTATTTGTGTAATCATGAACAATGCATCGGCTTCTTTAGCGTTATTTGTGTTATCATGAACAAGACAAGACGGTAGCTTCCATAACGTTATTTGTGTAATCATTAACACGACGGTACCTTCCATGACGAATAGTATGTCAGATTGTGTAGGAATAAAATTATAAACATAAAAAATATGATATATCAGCATCTATGTGTAATCATGAATAATATAACAGCATTTATAAAGTGCAATCATAAGTTAAACGTCAGGTTCGACACAATAACACTATTATCAACATTTGAATTTGAAACAATACAACATGTTTCATAAAGTTGCTGGTTACATCATGAAGTTACGTATGTAATGAGAATCTAAGACGAAGGTAGGTAAATATGTAATGCAATTTTGGTAAATAGATTTAACAAAAGAGCAAATATTTTACAATTTTCTATTACAGCCTGTCGTACAGAAATACAACGTTTCAGACGTTTAATGCAATTTTAAAATGTTTCAACAAAGTCCTCCCTTATTAGGTTTATCTCTCAATAACTGAAAAATGGCCGAACCAAGTCTAGTTCTGCTCTTTTGGCGATGGCTTGCAAAACGTTTTTTTCAGTCTAGGAATGAGGAAAAAGTCATAGGGTGTCTGGAGAGTACGGAGGATGTTGAAGGTCAGTCACTCGTTTTTCCCGAAAAAAAATACATTAGCTCGTCAGATGTTAACAAATGGGGTATTCATCAGGCAGTTATTCGCCTAACTGTCAAGTGATTCTTCAGAATCGTATAAATTGATACTTTGATATCCGTGCGATCTGGGTAAGTGAACATCTGCCATCTTTGTCAATGATAAGCTTGACTTCATAAATGATTTGTCAGTATTAGACTTACAGGCATTTTTAAATGACTGGTGCCTATTTCTAAATTTTTGCATCCTCCTTGAAACATTCACATAAGATAGTTTTATTGTTGCTTTAAATATTACAAATTTCATAATAAACATTTGAAGCAAATTTTCCTAGTTTTGCTCGAGCTTTTAAATAAGCTTTTCTCGCGCAGTCTGATCAGGATCCATGCTGTTCGCTTTCAGTTTCTCTACTTGTAATAGGGTTTGTAGGTGAACAACATGGATCCTGATCAGACTGCGCGGATGCTCAGGCTGGTTGAGCACTATGTTGGTTTTGTCTTGACGCGGCTCATGTAAGTTGTCAGCATGCATCTTTACGGTTACTAGTGTCACCATAAACAATATACCAGCATGTGTAAAGTACAACAATATTTCACTTTCTATTGCATGTACAATATTTCAGGCTTTAAACAGCTACAGTGTCTGATTGGAAGACTGTATTGTATCACCACACTTGACCAAGAGTGTTCAACGAACTTGTATGCAGTGACGATTTCATAAACTTTACATTTGTTGGTTTTTTTGAATGTATTGTTGTAAATCGAGCTGTATGCTAAAGTCCACTGTTCTAGTGTTTAGAGTCCTGTCATGTTCTAATAAATCTCTTCTAATCTGCCATGTTTGACATACGTATACGTTTGACGTGATGTTTATATATTGTATGAAAATATTATCCAATTTTATAAAATGAAATCTCGGAGAGGGGAACATAATTTTAATAATACTCACTATAATTTCATAAACAAAATTGCGTCTTAATTGAAAATGCTTTGTTATTGAATTTGGGTTGGAAATCGTTGATTTTGCCCTACAATTAGTTCATGAAAGGCTCTAATTCCGGGCTTCATTATTTACTATTGTTCATCAGTTAAATGGCTTTTTGATTCAATAGCTATTCTGCTTATAATATCATTAAACACAATGTGTTAATTAAGATCGAATGCATCGACATGTTATTGTATTATATAGTTGTTTATCAAAAGTATCAAATGAGGATTGAATTATACATGTTAGATTAAATATCTATTCTTCAAAACGTTGTCAATAATTAACAATGATAAAACACTTAAATATATTTGGTATACAAAACAAATGTTTAGTTAGAAATTAACAACATAACTTTATCATTAAGAAGTAAAACAAAACACAAGTGGATAAAA